TATCCGAAGACGTATATAAATTTTCCTCTTCGATGAATAATAAATGGCGGGATCGGAGGAGTACGCGAAGGGGGAGAGACAGTACCAAGTGGAGCCGTGCTCGAGTCTCTGGGCGCAAGAAGGGCAGCGGAGAGAGAAAAGCATTCGCGAGCACGGTGGAAAAGACGAAGACAGGTAACGCGGAGCAGAGAGCAGAAAGGAAAGGGTGGTGTGCCGGGCTCGCGAGGCTCGAAGACTCGGAGAAAGAGAGCCCAGAGCCAGAGCGAGAGCAAGGAGCGAACGAAAGGACGTTAACCCTTTTCTTGTTTCTCTCCAGCCCATCCCTCCGGTCCTTCTCATCGCAGGAGTGCTCCTTTCCGCAGGAGAGTCGCCTCGTCCCTTTCTCTCCAACCTCCAGTCACTTTTTCCCAACCTCTACGAGGCATCTTTCTCGCTCCGAGCGTTCTCCTCTGCGCTTCGCAGCGAGAGGGCTCCCTCTGCGCCACCCGCTTCGTTCTCTCTCTTTCTCACGCCCCTGGCCGCTTTCTTGCCCCGCGTTCTCGTCGAGGGGAGAACAAAAATTACGAATCCGCGAGGCATTCGTCGAGAGCCACCGAGCGTAGCTCGATCGAGGGTTTTCGCGCGGAGCTTGCTCCGCTCGACTCTGCCGCGAACGTTTCTAACGGAAACGCTCAACCCTTCGTCGAGGCAAAGGGTCGGGCTGTCGCGAACGATCGACTGTCAGTTGGCGCGACTCATACGAAAGAAGCGTGGGGTAATCTGGAACCGATGCTAGAAAAATGGAACAGCTGACCAGTCGGATGGGTTGATATCGATAGAAAATAGGATCTGTACCATCGCATGCACAAGAGTCCAACTACCACCTTATGAATGGAACAATGTATGGCTGATGTAACTCGCGAATAGAATCCTGTTAAAAGTAAAGTTCACGACTTCGAATAATAATAAAAGACAAACCGGAAAACCTGCGCGAATTATTCTAAATCCGAGAAAATCGAGCAACTAACACTGCCTCGAGTAAATCCCACGGCTAACCACAAGTCGGTGTGTTACGAAATCCAGGTCAGCGGCCTTGACGATGTACAGTTTCCGTGTCGTGCGCCTCAATTTCCATAATTACGATACCGGCGAGTAATTGCCTAGGCAGTAAAGCGCAAATAAATTCGCCTCGGTGGGCGGGAAAAAGGGTTTCGTGCGGGGCTCGCGCGAGAAATTTCTGGGACACTTTGCATATTTTCGCGTGACCGTACACACCGCCCTCGTCGTGGCTCGCTCGTTCGTGGGAAGAAACCTTCGACGTTGTAATTATCGGGGCCAATTTGTCCGGCTAATAACACGCCATTATATTATTAAAAAGTCGTAAAGATAATCATTGCGTCTACCCAGCTTTGCCAGCCTATTGTTTTACGGCCGAGGATTCCTCGTACTATTATTCCCGTTGATCTTAAAACTACGCCCGTGCACGGGTAATGGCTTCTGCCCCGATTATCCCGCTCGCCGACTTTGTTCCCGCGTTTTAACCTCTTCGCGGCGAACCTCTTCAGGAGGGCAGTTTTGCAATCTCATATAAAAACATTCATTTTTCATTTCTTCTGCACTTTTCTTGAGAACGCTGATGCTTCGATGGAGACTTGTAGCTTGCGTTGTTGCGCGTTGGAAATGTATAAACGAGAATTCAAAGTACTTGAGAAGAAAAGTTGGCACCACGAGCGTATCAGCGCACAGCGAGCCCGCAAACTAGTAGCACCACTGGGCCTCCCAGCTTCTAACACAGTTTCCAGATGGCAAATCAACGTCAGGAGCCCCTCGACCTCGGCCACGACGGATCGCGAGCGAACGTTCCATTCTGGATATAAAAATAGCTACGTTACGAATCCAGCGTTCGAGAAATCCTGAGATTAACGGGTCCGTCGACGTGGCGTTACCCGCGAAATTACTATTATCGGATAAAAACGGAGTTGCCGTTATTATCCACCGTGTAATCGGTTCCACGAGAGCACCGCGGGAGCTTAGCTCGTATCCTGACGAATCTCGACGGGGCGAGAATAGCGGCGAAGCGTTTAAAATAAAGTCGCAGCGACGGTAAATTTATCGTTCACGAACGCGGGATCTGTTTACCCGTCCCTTGGGATCGCGTGTCGCGATGAAAACCACTAAAATACCGGGGACGGAATTCGTCGTTGGTTTTTGGGGGGCCCCCTCCCGCGAAAAACCGTTCCTCTTCTTGGCCCTCCTTGTCACTCACGTGTCACCTTCCCGTGCAGCGACGGGGGGAAAATAAGGCCGCGGGTTTTGGAATACCTGACCGGTTAGTCAGACCATTTAGTCATTCCTCTTATACCGGGGTATACTCGGTATCGCGCAGTCACCAGAACTCGCTCTTTGGGAACTATCCAGATCACGAATTAGCTCGTAAAAAAAGCCACCCGAGGGTTACAGAAGCATACCGAAATAAACACGTTAAGTAACAACATTGGAATACATCTTCGTGGCGCGCAAGTGGTCAGAAATCCACCACGAAAAAACCTGCTCGAAAGTACTTTTTTGACGTTAAATAAGCGCGACTCGCTAAGACTTGCGAGCTGGGCGCGATCGATAGGAGCGGATCCGCGAACGTGCTACCGTTGTTTTCAATTATTATTAAAAATGAAAAGAGGAAGAAAGTGGGGGAAAGAAAACGATTTGTTCGCTTTCCCATCAATTATTTCTATCGAGCACAGCGAACAAAGGGAAGAGAAGTTTCCTTGCAATTACTATATATGTATAATCGATCGATACGAGATCTTAATACTATCTTCACGGAGGAGTTTATGTCATCCCCTCTGAGCAGTTTTTTGTTTGCGAATAAAGTCGTCGAGCGAAAATAAAGAAATAAAAATATCCAGGTCGTCTAATTAGTAGAAGCAACGAACCGTCGCGGTTACAAAGATAATGGGAAAAAAAAAAGACGCCGGGAGACAGGGAAAAGAACAGAGCGGGACGTAGGAGAAGACAGACGAGCAAAAAAAGAGGAAAGGAAAAACGAAAAGGCGGGGGGAGAGAGAGAGAGAGAGAGAGAGAGAGAGAGAGAGAGAGAGAGAGAGAGAGAGAGAGAGCTGGCAGAATCCGGGAATGTCCAAATTTTTGGCGCGCCGCCAATTCCGCGGTTATCTTATTATGATCGAGCGGAATTAACGAGCTATTTATCGAGATTACACGCGGCGATACGCAACGTTATAATCTAAAATAAACCGCGGTTCTGTTCCGCGAGCTTTATCAGAGGCTTTCGGAGCGGCGTTCGCCAAACACAGCGATACAGATATCCAGCCCAGTGTTATTACAACCGTATACGCCTGTAAAACATCGGGCTAGACTTCTCGAAACGTGTCCTCTTTGTGGCGCGAGTTCATTTAATCCAAGCCCCCCTAACAAAGAACAGCATCTTTTCAAGTAAACGAAAGTTCGAACGAAAACGAAATGTATAGTTGGGAATTTTTTGTGAAGACATACGATGCTTAACACGAACATTGCATGGATATATCGAAAGTACGTACTCGAAGCTCACTCTTTATCGATAACTCCCATCCCTTATCATTGCCACCCGACAACTATGCATCCATGCAAACGGGTATTCGACAAAATCTTCATGATCAGCTCCTAAGGGCCCCAAAACACAGTTAAAATTTACACCTGCCTTTCAATCACTTTTTCACGCCTCTGATCCACCTAGCACGGTCCTGGCAAAATGTTCGACCAACGCCAAAGTTGGTACAACGTTGGGTGGCCAGGGAAGGACAAGAAGAGGTAACGGTGACGGAGAAGCCGGGACGCGGAATCGCTCGCGCGAATTCGGTCGTCGTCGTTCGCTCGATTCGCGTGCGCGGACGAGGCGAAAGCGGAACCGAGAGTGCAACGAGGGTCGACGAGTACGAAGCCGACCATAGAACGAGCAAGAGAGAAAGATAGATAGGCCGAGGAGTCGGCGGTCGGCCAGTGCGCGAAAAGAATAGCTCGGCTGATTCATACGCGAAGTCACGAGCCGTACATCGTACGCAGCCGGCGTACGGTCGTGCAAGCGTAATCTAAAACACACGAGATGCACACGTTCCACGGCCGAGAGGTCCCCCTCCACCCACAACCCCACCTTCGGCACTACACGAAACGACCGTGCACGCTTTTATATACTCGTATTCTTTCCACCTCTCGCCAAGACAACGCCGACCGAAAAAATACTGAACGAAACGCTTTCTCGCGAATAATTCGCGTCTCGGATGTTGCGGTCACCGGCCCCCGACGACGCTCGCGACTCCGTTGGCCCTGAAGGAGATCTCGTCGATCCTGCGGGCGCATTCTTTCCGCGAAATTCTCGAGTGTCTTGACCAGTGAGTTCTGGTAAGATCCACGCCCTAGAATGGAAGTTGAACTTTCACAGGTGTTGCCTTTCTCGATAAAAGAGTACCGAGTGATCTCCACTCGGTAAAAGAGTTTTTTCCCTGATGATACTATTACGAAAGACTAATAAAAAAAATTTGTTTAAATAGTAGTATTCAAACGCTCCATTTTGACCTTACGTCATTCACTGAGGATTAAAAGTGCGATCGAAGGGTCAACGAAAGTAAAAGAAGCGGGCTCCGTTTCCCCAAAGGGTAATCTTTCCTCCTAACGCGAGAGAACGTGGTCGAATGGTCGGCGGAGGAGCGCACGCGTGTCATCTTTGGAGTAAAACGTAGAGGACAGAAAGAAGGGAGACTGACGAAAAGAGAAAGAGATTATGGCAAAGGGAGGCCGGTGAAAGTGGCCGCATGGTTAGAATAGTTAAAAATAACCCGGGACCAAGGGTCCTGCGCTGAACTTCGGTTCCTGTAAACACGCCCATGGGAAGAGGCATGGCAAAAGGAGCAAGAGGGCCCTGCCTGGTCGCGTATCTGGCACACGGAGAACGACACGGAGAGAGTCGAGAAACGCGAGCCAGAGCGCGTTCAGGGAAGGCAAACGATCGAGGGAAATTTTGCGGTACTCACGTGCTTCCATAGAGGTGTCTTGACTCGGTGGTGGCAACTGCGTGGTCGGCGACGAGCTCGTAGCTGATGGCGTCGACGTGGAGGAGCCTTTGGCTTCTGGCACCGTGACCTTGACCTGTTCTTCGTTGCTCTCGGTCTCCTCGTCCTCTGTCCGCGCCTCCTCCGGGCTCGGGCGTGTCCTTACGCTTCCAGCTCCCGGCTCCTCATCTTCAGGATACGACCACGATGACATCGGCCCGGCGACTGTTGTCGTGGTCCACTCGACGACACCACCACCACCACCACCTATAATCTCACCACTACCGTTCCCCGCGACCGCGAACCCACCCCCGTTTTTAACCGCGACACCTACTGCTTCTCCTTCGTCCTTCGCCTTCCTGTTGCGCTTTCCCCCTGACACACCCCCCTGGTTGAGCCACCGCGGCACTGGACGACGTGGTACAGCGCGCGTTAACGGTGCCGTAAACGTCGTTGTCGCCGTCGTCGTCGTCGTCGTCGTCGTCGTCGTCGTCGTCGTCGTCGTCG